TTTTTTTTTTTTTTTTTTTTTTTTTTTTACATAATTTGATTCCTCTAATTATTCTGCATATAAAAGTATAAGAAGCAAAAATATAAAAAAATCCAAAAAATAGTTTACGAGATATTTAATATTTATCTTATGTTAGTATGTGCCAGAATAACGTAAATATCTTGTAAACTATTATAATTTTTTAATAAATCACCCATAATACTTTTATATGCAGAGGAATTATGTAAAAAAGTTATATAATTCCATTTAAAAAAGAGATGATTTTTATATTTCTTTGGTATCTCCGTCTAGAAAAAAAAACATGTTTAAAAACAAAATACGTTTCCTTCAAAATCATTCCGCTTATTTTTGAAAAATTTTTTTTGTTAAAAATAAATGAATTGTTCAAAATATTCGATTTAAGTGGATTGTCCTACATAAAATTTGCAATGTATAATAATGTTTATAATGAATGAATTTTTTGTTAAAAAAAAAATATATATTAATATAATAATTTTTCAAAAAAGTATAACTTTTGCGCTAAAGGCAATATGTAAGATTTCTTTCTCGTTTTAATAAAATTAATCTTTGTTTTAAGTTGTATATTAGAATTTTCAAATTACAACAATTCTTTTGAAAAAATACGAAATACACATAATATTGTGGAATAAAAATATCTTTAATAAATATTAATAAGAATATAATGTAATTTATTCATAATGTATTCCATAAATTTTTACTACAATATTTTCCTATGAGACATGTGAAATATTTCGTTGCGTAATACATAGTTCATAGTTTGATTTATTCATAGCTGATATTTCTACGGTACCGATTGTAATTGCAAATCGATATCGTTTTGGAAGAAAATGGAACAAGAGTATATTGAATATTTTTATCTCGATCTGTACAAACATAATACTTTTTATCGAAATATTGAATAAAGATACATTAATGTAGTGTATTTCTTGCTTATCATAATATTTGTAATTTAGGCGCAAATAGATCTTTTTTTAAGATTACAGTAATCTTTGACGGTTGACTTATCGATGTTATACCGTTATGTAAAGATGTGATAACAGTATATCTAAAACGGCAAAAAGAGAGATAGAGAAAGAGAAGAAAGTGTGCGAAATATAAATAGTACAAATGACTGTGAAATAAATTACGGAATAAAAATAAAAGAAATTTCGCTCGCAGATGAAACTCGATTGGCCTTTGAAATCGAAGAAGCCGACGATGCGAGTATTACGCACTCGGGAGCGAGTGAGGAAAAAACTTTCGTCCGAGGTATAGTCAATTGTAGTGTCGATTAATCCCAAAACGACATGTACACGGAAAAATATTAAAAAAAAAAACGAAACTTTTTAAGCTCTTTCATTCTTACCTATTAAAAATTGTCACGATAAAAGTCATGTATAGATAAGTAAGTAATGTATAGATATACATAAATAACATATAATATTATAATATTATCGATTATTCCTATGAAATTTTATATGATATTGTTACTTTTTCCGTGTGTCGTCTTGCTTGTTTTTGCGCTTTAAAATAATACGGTGCGTATGCTTACTTTTCGAACTTAGTGGCTTCCTCTTTTTCGATTGGGTTTCCATAGCACTAAAATATTATACATCGCGTAATTTATTATAGTTAATAATATAATAAGAATACAATAAAGAAAATTATAATGGTTCGAATAAAATATAAATAATTTCTAGGAGATTCAGCTATTAAATTAAATATATATTAAATTTTAAATAAAACACGTTGTTTCTTTTAATGCTTTTTACACAATGATTACAACATAATCATTGTGTAAAAAAAGCAGATAGATATGTAAAGTTTGATAAAAAAAAATACTTGAAATATCGTAACTTATTTAATGTTCATTTTGCTAAATATTGGACGTTTAAGTAATAGCAAAGTTGAATCGATAATTGAATTAACTCTCAGATTATGAGAATTGTAGGAAATTGGAATTTGTAAAATATGATATATATTGTGATGCATTTAGAATTGCTTAATAGTCTAGTTGCCTGTGGCAGTATTACCTTATTTTTTCTAATTATCTATATTTAAAACGAGAAAGTTTTAATTTTTTCTTACCACTTTTCAAATTATATATTATCCAGTTAATAAAAGCTTATATGTATTCACTCATACATAAATCATGATATTATGCTTAGAAACTTTAAAAGTTGCAAATTACACTTAACTAATCGCATAAATTTTTATACTTACTAATAGAGTTAACACAAAAGCATTTATATTAAAAAAAATTTGAATTAATAAATTAAGGTAATAAATTAAAGGTAATAATATAACAGATAATATTATAATATATATAAAATTTCAGATAACAATGCGATTATTTAGGTATTATAGATAGTGAAAAAGTAATTGATTCATAAAAATTATTATCTTTACTATGAAATTTGTTGAATGCGATATTATTCATAATATTTTCTAGTTTAATAACATTTATAGTTTGTGATATTGTCTTTTTAGTTGCAGCAGAGAATGACGATGCCATATAAATTCTATTTTTCATTTATACATTTATTCATTTATACATTTTTTTTTCTTTTTATTCGAAGGTATTAAATATAAATGGTACTGTGAGCTTGGGCGAAAACTCAATAAACCAAGATCCATCACGAAGACCTTGGTATATGAAAGGAGGAACAAGAAGACCTTATCCGGCGATAAGAACTCGCAATACTGGCCGAAGATTGGCTCAATTGTGGCCGGAGGAAGCTGCTTACGATGATCGTGTGACTAATCAAGTAATTCTGATAATTGCATAAAAATTTACGGATTATAGTTAAAATTTAATTATTATATACATATATTTAATTATCGATATTGCTAATTATAAATTGATTTTTATGAATATTAGACATATACATTCAAAAATTTTCTTTATTTATACATATTTTTTATTTATACATTAATATTTTGATGTAAATTTAATTTTAACAAAAATAGTGAAGAGGAATAAATATCAGCAAAAATATTATTGCATTAAATTAATTTTATTTTACTTTATTGAATCACGATGCATTCCGATTATTATACATATAATTATATCTCTCAATTTTTTTCAACAAAATACTGAAGAATTTCACATTCACAACAATTAATAACAATGACAAAATTTAATTTTATTCTTTGTAAAATAAGTGTAAATAATAAAATAAACTTAATTTACATCATACGTTTATAAAAAAAAGTACGAATTTTGTTGGCTTTAATTTTTGCTAATGTCGGATAATGTATGTTAAATTTGTTTTAGGATTTTAAGAGAATTAAAAATGTTATTATAAGCTAATATTTCACAGTACTTAGTTGCTGAGTATAAGTTCTACAAAGCTATATAAATACGTATATAAAAAGATTTTTTTTTGTAATTTAATCAATAACTTTTCTTGACTAAACGATTCTGCGCAGTCATAAGTATATTAATGTCATAAATAATTTTACAGCTAATGTTCGTGCCATCTGATTACAACAAAACAGGCAGTGAGCATCCATTGAAAAAAATAATGATTCCTCATGGGATGGCCGAAGCCAAAATTGGTCCTGACATATTCTTCCAACAACGCTGCCCGGTGAATACTTGCACGATCGTCCGCGACAATCCGGACGACGCCGATCTCATTCTATTTAAGGATTACATCACGCACGTGGGACGAAGGTCTTACAATCAGGTATCCGATGTAATACAAGCAATATTAATTTTTGCGACCCGAGAAAATCAGGTCACCTTTGTTCAGCGATTGACTCGCCTTTGAACTTTACTTATATAGTTATATCGCGCACATATAAAAGAGGATTTATTATTAAATATATTATTTATATAATAAAAATTATTTATGTAATTTTTTCAATAGGTGTGGATGCTGTATTTTTTAGAATGTCCTTATCACACGCAGAGCGTAAAGAGCGCTCTTATCAATTGGACCGCTACATATCGGCGCGATAGTGACATAGTGGCACCTTACGAAAGATGGCAATATTATGATTCGAGTATTACACAGATCTCACAAACGTTTAATTATGCAGCAAACAAAACAAAGAAGGTAAAATATTTAGATTAAGATTTTAATAATATTTGAATTGTCTGAGAACCAAAACAATGAAATAAAATGTATATTCTTTGTAAAATAAATGTACTAGTTAATAATAAATTTTTATTATATTTATTTCTATAATTAAAATAAAATAATAGAATTATATATTTTTTGAAGACAGAAATAGCTTTTATTTACTCTGCATTTTTTAATAAAATACTGTTTTTATTTGTTTAGTTATAAAATGTAATTATTTATCGTAACTCGTACTGTTAAATTTTTAAAATAACTTTAAATAATACATATTTTAAATAAAATTAATGGCTTTAAAAAATTTTAATTTTAATTAATATTTAAAAAATATACAATAATGCGTATATGCAATAAAAATAATATTTATTTGATAATGAAATAAAATCATCTATTCTTCAATATGATTTATTATTATATTAATTTACAAAAAATAGAAACGTTACCTTCAGATAGAAATTAAATTAGAAACATTAAGATTTATATAAAAATCAAAATAAAGAATTTTATTGAAAATTATATTTCTTATCAAAATCATATTATATTACATTTTCAATCATATTATACTACATTTTTGCAAATACTTGTAATTTTCAAATTGTTACACTATCAAAAATGATATTTACTTTCTTCTTCATGACATTCGCTGTTTAATTAGGTCGCCTGGTTCGTTTCCAACTGCCATCCCCGAAATCAGCGTATGCATTATGCCAGGGAACTCTCGAAATACATCCAAGTGGACATTTACGGTGCGTGCGGCAGCCTACGTTGCCCGCGATCGCAGTCGCAAACGTGCTTCGACATGCTCGACGAGGACTACAAATTCTACCTCGCATTCGAGAATTCCAACTGCAAAGATTACATCACGGAAAAGTTCTTCGTTAACGGACTAGGGTACGTGCGATGATATTTATTGCTCTCTTCCTTCTTTCTCTTTTCACCGTCTTATCCTCTCACTCTCTTATTAGCGCATACAATTCATACAGAGAGGTGCGGTATTTTAGATGCGAGCAGCGAATATAAGTTGACCTAATACGCTCGATCATTTCACCCAGAGGTCGGCAACCTTTGCCAACTTGTGCGGTATCTTGAATAAAGCGGTTGCGTGCCAACTCGCGTTACCTAATCTTCCCTACTCACTTAATGGACAGAAACGCGTGCTACTCGCGCGATATTAATTAAGCTTCCGAACTGGACGCGACCGCCTCAATTCACAAGCACGCGATGTGATACGATTTCTTTCATGACACACAATCACGCATTTTCCTTCTCTCACGATTACAATTCCATTTCTTGTATTTTGGAATATTACACTGCTTGTATTATCTATTTTTCCTTGGATGTGCAGGCACAATGTTTTGCCAATCGTGATGGGGGCTCATCCGACAGATTATGCACGCAGCTCGCCATACCGTTCTTATATTCATGTAGACGAATTCGAGACGCCGAAAGAACTCGCTGAATATCTGCATCGATTGGACCGCGATGACGACTTGTATAATTCATATTTTCGCTGGAAGGGTACTGGCGAATTCATCAATACGTATTTTTGGTGCCGGGTGTGCGCCATGTTACACGACGACCGTCCACCAAAGTATTACAAGGATGTGAACGAATGGTGGCGAGGGGACGGCGTGTGCACGACCAGCTCATGGCGAGAACACGACCTCGTACGTCCACAGAATACTTGAAGATAAATCATCCCGAGGATTCGTTTAAAAGGCTCTTCCGGCAGCCATGGGGAGATCCGTGCGTGCGTCCGCCCACGACACGTTGCTCAATTTCTACAAACGATTCCGATTCTTCCAAAACAGAACATTGCCTGAGTCTGAAAGATGGCCGGAAACTTCAGAGAACGTGGTATTGTGCTGTCACGTCCAAGAGAGAGGCTTCAGGCGGTTTTCGAAAATATTGAGCCAATCGTAAACCCATACAACATATTTTATCTCAGAGATATCTGCAAACGTTCTTAGAATGTTGGGATGTTCTTCAGAATGTCTCTTGGACATCTGTATGGGAAGTTCCAAAAGGAGATCCCAGCAGGGCGCGAAAAGATGCGTGACCTCGCATGACCTCATTTCGCGAACGCTCGAGCCGTTCTGAAGAAGGTATTAATAAGACCTTGGTCGGCGATGGTGTCACGCGACTTTTCATCACACGGCTGTTTTTAGAGGCGCTCGAAAAGCTATGACTCGACGATATGAAGTTTCGCGCAAGTAAACTATCTACGAAGCTGACTTTTGCTCGGCGATTAAGACGCGGATAAACGATAAGGTACAATCTTTCAAGATTTAAATGAGATAAACGATAAGAAAAATCTTTCAAGATCTAAATGAGAATGTTTGCTCGCGAGAAGGGTTACTTGCGAATTTTTTCAAGAGGGCAATCTGTGTGCCTAATTGTCGAATCTTCCAAAATGTTTCTATATACTCTTTTTTTGAACGATAAACAGAGAAGGTGATTTTATGAGGACAGCCATGATCCTTGAGAGGTCACTTATATCATCATTCGGGGACAAAATTTTGCAATGTTCATATAAATTTAAGAAAAAATTCAAATAGGCATACGAAAAACGCCGTAAAATAATATAATACGTATTATGAGAATAAAGAGAATTATATATGTTTGACTTTAGAAGACTTGATTCTCACTGCATATTTAGTATTAAATTATCTGTGATCCTAAGTTTTATCTGTACAATTTAATAAACACGATACACACTTTAAATGAAGAATTAGGATCGCGTTTGCTATTAAATGTGCAACGAGAATAGTTTTTGTGTACGGAGGAATATGATACAGAATCGCCGGATGTCTTTTAGCTACATGTATTAGAGAACCAGTTACGAAACATATTAATTTAAAAAAAGAAGATATTAAGCAGCATCGAAAATTACGATATTAATTAGAAATTAATTGGAAATAAAGAATTTATGAATTAAGAATTTATTAAATTAATCTTCGGTCATGTAAATAACAAAACTTTTTTTTTATTTTTCAATTAATTTTATCATAACAAAAATTTTAAGTCAATCTTAATTACAGTTTACAGTGACTGTCAAAAGTTCCTGGTCAACATATAATTTTATCAATCTAGTATATCTTAATTTATATGATAAGTTATTATTTATATGATAAGATATTACAATTTTTATAATAATTTTTTAATTAAAATATTTTAAGAATACGATATTCTAAATACTAGAATATATTAAGCATTTACTAAATCTTTATTTGTAAAAATTCTTTTTTTTATCTGAATAATAAAATTATTTGTACAGTTAGACAGCCACTGTATGTCAGTAATTAAGCTGATAGGTATGCTAATAAGTAAAAACATGTGTGAGAAACATTGCTAAAATGTGAGTCATTCACAAATTTATCACGATAATTGTAGTTGAAAGGACAATCGGTGAAGACAAATTTGAAACGATGTTAGATAAATAACCATTATCCGATAAATGAAAAAAAATGAGCAGCTGCGAAATTTGCGTGTAACTTAAAAGAACAGTGGCGTCTCGAATGTAAAGTACAGTATTGTTTTGTAAAGCAGTTTGTGAGTTTTGTCGAAGAAAGTAAAAAAACTCGTCACTGCTTTTTGTAGAGTGAGGATTATTGTTTATTATTTAATATTATTGTTCCTTCTTGCGAATTCTGTGAGAGGATCTTATCGTTGTATGTTGTAGGTGAAAAAAATTCATGTGCATTCAGATTTATGTCATGTGTAAAAACTGTAGTGAATTTTACTTTTTTGACAATAATTATACACAATAATAATTTCTTGTACATACATACACATTTATGTATTCCTATTTACGAAATTGACAGAGTGTAAGATTTGTGTATAATGGGATTGATAGAATTGTTAGATGTAATTAGAATGTCAAAGCACGTATAAATCATTATACATTTAATAACTTGCATTTATATTTTTGTTAACAGAAAGAACGTGTTTATATATTTTACGAGCATATTTATTTTTGAACTACATAGTCTTTATCGAGCATATAAACATTAATACTCGCGTGAACTTATGAAGTATTTAAGAATCTTATTCTTGAGTGCACACGAATTTTGTTATTTAATAAGCGTTATTTTGCTGAAGTTCGCAGAATCTAGTCAAGAAGAAGCTCAGTGAAATATTTTTGAATATAATTTATAATGATAGTATTATATACAGCGAGTACCTGTTTCAAGTAATTCCTGTTATATTTTTTTCCTTTCAATTGAATTGAATCAGTTGTCCCTGCGAGGCACAGCACGTATCGTCGCATAATATATTTTCACTCCATGGCTAGTGTCAATTCGAAAACAATGACTTCCGGTTTGAACACTAGTCTAGCTCAAACGTAGCTCAAATTTGGACGGATTTGGTCCAGAAAAAAGACAGAAGCACTGAAAAAAACGAAAGCAAAGCGCAAAATATATATTTGAAACGCACGAAATATAAACACGTAAAGTCACGACTTAGTTACCTCGAGACAAATTTAATCACCAATCTCGAACGGTTCCTACATTATAAATTACTCACAGTGCGCACAAACAGTAACTAGATATTTAGATAACAAATAACAAATTAAATGGTTAGACCATACAAATTGATACTGAGGAGGTATATTAAACATCTTGGATAATTGTTTTTCTTTTTTTTTTTATAGTGTTCATTATTTATGTTTATATAAATAAATTCTTTGTTTTAGATAAAAATATTATATCTTAGTCATTATTAATTTTCATACTAATTGATGTGCTTCAGAGAAAGTTACTTAAATCAATTGCACGCCAAAAGCATTTATATAATTTGATATTATAGTATTAAAGCTACGTTCCATTTATTTATTCACAACATTTGTGGAATCATTTTATCCTTGTTATTTATCAAATGTTAAACAAGGACAAATGATGCTCGCGAATGTTACGAGCTTTTAAGTAGAATGCAGACTAAATTGAAAATTTATTATTTATCGTTTATTATAAGAACCTAATCAAATTTTTTTTATAAATACGCAGCCCGAAATTTCGGATATGTTAATCTAAGTTGTTTACGTTTTTGACATCAATCAAAAACGAAACAGAACAGCGAAATCCGGCTGTAACAAGGAAGTTTTTAATCGCAATGTTAGGTTTATTAATGATTGGTGCTGCCTGTAACAATTGGTGCTGCTGTACGACGTATGTAAGATGTGTATACGTCGAGGACGAACTCCTGATTTAAGCGGCCAGTGTAGACTTCAATATAAGTACCAAATATTAGATTTATGTAGGCAACGAAAGGGGCGCGAGAGAGTAACGCACGCTCGATGTTGAAATATATTCGTGGCGAAATATGTGATAAATAAATGTTTCTGTATCGATACCGTTGATGTTAGATTCCCTCGATGTGTGCGAATCACATATATGACAATCGGGAAATTGCTGAAATTATACTGAAAAAAATATGGTAATAATTATAGATTTATATATATTTACAAAGAGTTATATTTAGTTTAGCGCAATTGGTGCAATATTTAGTGAATATTACTGAATATAATAATGGTTACTAACTGTTTATTAATAATTAGAAAAGTAAAATAATATTTGGAAAAGTAATTTATATTTAAATTTAATTGATTTATATTAACCAAATATTTGATTGAAATTATTTTACTAAAACTTTAAAAACATTTGAGATTATTATTGAACTTTTTTCAGAGTATGTTGAAATAATTATTATTTTGTAATAGATGTATGGAAGAGACTTAATTAAATATAGAAAAAAATCTGTTATTTTATTGGATATAATGCAATTATAATGAGCTTATAAGAAACAAACATTTTAAAAGAGCTGAAAATTTGATTAGCAATATATGACTTGTTCTTATTGTATTTTTTCAAAAAATGATGGATTTCCTTTAGAGTATAATGTTTAATTTATTTCATTCCATTCACTTTTAATTATATTGCAAAATAACAGTTATATAATTTCAGCGACTTCTCGATTGTTACTCCGTATTACAAACATTTCTAAAGCAACTCAACTCGATCAATATTTTTATCCGCCCCAAATTCAATGATGGATACGAGATGTTATTACTTATTCTCTCAGCGATTGCCCATTTCATCAGTCTCTAGATAGTATGATGATTTGTAAATAGTAGCGTGTACGAAGGTCATGATATTCCCATAATGTAAAGAGAAAGAAACACGTCACCGCATGTAACATTGAATATGTCGATCGTGGTAGATAATAAGGCTACGCGAGACAGTATTCGCTTCAGCGAAACGTGAAATCGGTTCAAGTTCAATTACAACTCCGAAATAGATGTTATTATTCGGTTCATAATGTCGGAAAATCGATATCGAAGGAGAATTGTATTCAACGCATATATTCAATGCACAATATTGTCCGATCTGACTTTACATGCTCGACTTTATGTTCAAAATCACAGTCTTGATGCAAACAGTAAAACTAATTTTGAATTATTCTGATGTAATGATTATTTGAAATTGGACCGACTTCACATATCGATTTCGGTACTATCTATTTCGCATAGCTCTAATAGATAATGCATTCGAATCAATACTGAAAATTTGTAGATAAAAACGTGACAGGTAACGTGGCTCGTTTGGGTCAAATGCGCTTATTATTTTTTTTTATCGCTTTTGTACCCAGCGAGCCGCGATTAGTGCCATAATGTCGTAAGATCGTGAAAATTAATCAAAAATCGTGTCGTTGTCTTAATCGTTACGTCCACGTACATCAATTTTCCGCAATTAAGCGCGACGGAAAGTTCACGCAGACATTATTCTATAATTCTACATAACTTTTTAGATATACGTTTGCGCATACGAAAATTATGACGAGAAAACTATTGTCGAAAAGCAATCGTTCATAAAATTTTTTTGTTGACAAAGAAAATTTAACCGTTTCTACAAAGACTTGTATAC